CGGCTTCCCCGCGGCTTTGCTCAGCCCCTCCACAGCTTTGCTCTGCGTCTTCCTGGTCTGCAGACCAGGGAGACACAGAGAAAGCCCCAGAGTACACGGGCAGCAGGACCGCGAGGTCCCGCAGTCCGTGTACTCTGGGGCAGCCCTGTTCGTATCTGCGGATCCGACATAAGTTGGATCCGCGTAAGTCGGGGCCTGCCTGTAGCCAGCTCTTCAGGAGTGGGGCTGCAGTGGGAGCCCACAGCGCAGCCGGCTCTGCTCCTGGGGAGCCAACTGAAGTGCTAACTCTGCAGTATAAGCTTTATATTGCAGAGCCCGCAGTGTGTAACCGCTAAGATTTTTCAGTGGCTAAAAAAAAAAAAAAAAAGTAGCACTTTAATAAACCATCTTGTTAGTCTTTAAAGTGCTACATAGTCCTGTATTTTGTTTCAGCTACACCAGACTAACACAGCTACATTTCTATCAGTGGCTACAGTTACCTAATTAACTGCTTTTAACATCCCTAACTTGCATTGACATAAAAGGTGTGAAACTGATGTCATTATTTCAGTTCCAGTGTAAAAGCTGTTAAGCATTTTGATTTAAGTGGTAACTGTCAGGCAGAACTTTTAAAGAGTGGAAGAAGAAAAAGGAAAAATATAGGGAATTCCACATTTAAAATGCATCTGATGAAGTGGGTCTTTGCCCACAAAAGCTTATGCTTCAACACTTCTGTTAGTCTATAAGGTGCCACATGACTCCACGCCGCTTTTGCAAATACAGACTAACACAGCTACCCCTCTGATACTTGACACATATAAAAGACACTCTTCAAACTAAAAAGGTTTAGAAAGAAAAAGAGGATCGATGGAGAAGATAACTGAAATAGGGAACCTTAGTTAAATCCAAAAGCAGCTGGGAAAACCCAAAGAAAAGAAACAATTTTAGAAAGTCTACATCTTCCTTTCTGCTAATAAACGAAAGATATTAGCTAACTGAATTGCTCAGTGATACAGCATCCCCCTGTAAAATTTTGAGATTTTCCCCATTTGACAGAATTGCCTGGGGAAGTAAGGCTGAAATTACAGCTGGCAACATGCTGAAATACACCATCACTTAGGTGGCTAGTCTCATTCAACAAATATCCCCACCATGACTCCTAATTAAAAAACAAAACAAAACACATTTCCCTGGATAACATCTGTAAAAAAAATAAATAAAAATCTATACTCAAATACCTAGGAAGCACAAAAACTGGTTTGCAGTGTGATTTTACATATGCTTGTCTATACCCAACTGGAATTTTTCAGCATTTGATTTCTGATTAAGACTGCAGCATACCATCACAAATGTTTGCAGTGTTTCATATAAAAATATGAATGTATGTTAAAACAAATATGTATGTACTAAGATTCAAGGTTTAGCAGGTCATTTCTATGCATTAGTATAAAAAAAAGTAGTCAAAATTGGTTATTAGAACACCAGCTGCGAGGCTCTTATTGCGGTTGTTTAAAAGTTGCCTTTTAGTAATTCCTGAAACTGCAAAAACAAAACTAAAAAAAACCACACAATCTCATTTAAGTAGCAAAACTTGACATTCAGCATCAAGAGCTTGCTACAACCTCAACGTATCTATGACAGATATGCCTATGCATAAAATGTCATATCTTCACAATCTGGGGACTTTTAGGGATGTGAAAGGTTAACAGGTAAGAATTACCCTTAATATGTGATGCTTGCTGGTTCCAATTAACCCATGGGGGAGAGGGGAGCTCATTGGCCATCCCTCCTTTAATTGGTTAACTGGTTACACATTGTGTTTGACCAGTTAACCAATTAAATGGGATTTTACATCCCTAATTCCTTTGAGTAGTTCTTAACTCACACAAACAAATCTTTGCACTTGCAATTGAAATTAGTGGAACTCATCATATTTGTCAGGACAACTAGAGAGAGTAAATATTTCTAGGATTGGGCCCTTCATTTGAAAGGTACCAACCACAGTTTTGCTAGTAGCCCAATTTTGTTACTGGGTGCAAAATAAAATGTCCTAGTAACTAACCAGTTCAGAGGATCTGAAGTTTTTCATATCTGGTCTTTTGATTCAAATCCAACCCAGGTTTTGTAGTGGGTGAAAATACTGCCACATAACAGTATCAGAGATCTATGGGAAATGAATTGGCACCGCCAGTCCAGCTCTTATCAGACAGACACTGACATATCAAGATGATCCTTTTGTTGACGGTTTCAGGTATTAGACAAAAGCCTGAAAGTACAAAGACTGAACTACCCACTCATTCTTAAGAGGAAATCCTTCCAGAACAAGGCTGACGCACACTGATGAGCAATTTACAGAAACCTGCACTGCTACCACCTGTTATATTTTTGTTCTGAGAATGATTTCATTCCCAGGGCGGGTCTTTCAGCAAGTAATTTTATTTTTGAAAATTATTCAATTTCTTCATATGATTTAAAAATAATGAATGTACAAAATAGAGCTTTGTACAACAGGCCCAGTTGGCAAAAAAGGCTTCACATACAGCTGGGCCAAATGCAGAATGATCCATCACATCAAAAAGGCTTATAAAGAAATTAAATACAGTAAAACTCCAGTGGTCCAGCATCCAATGGTACAGCACTCCTGATGGTCTGGCACCATCTAGAACCCGGAAGTGCTCCAGGGAGCCGGACAATTGGAGCTGCTCTTCCCCGGGCTTCCC